ACCCTCAACGCTACGAAGAAGAAGAATATACATATATATATATATATATATATATATATGTGTGTGTGTGTGTGTCTGTTTGTGTGTATATATATATATATGTATACATGTATGTATGTATGTATGTATGTATGTATGTATGTATGTATGTACACACATAACATACATATAGTTGGGTGATCCCTACACCTCAAGGCTTCATTGCAAGGGCCCGAGCCTCCCCGAGGCCTCTGACCACGTCGGGGGGGAGGTCGGCGACGGGAAGGCCCGGTTTCGAGGCATCCGACTTTAGGAGCACCTGGTAGAGTTCTTCTGGGCTCTTTGGGGGCTTACAGAAAAGGGCGAGGAGGGGGGGGGGAGGGTAGGGTAGGGTTTAGAGCACGGGGTTTGGGAGGTTTGGGAGTTCAGGAGGGGCTGATCGGGATTCTTAAGATGTTGAGGTTTGTACGGTTGGCGCCGTAAGTTCAGGTCTAGGGGTTTAGGGTCGGTGAGGGGCATCGGGGGTTCGGGATACGGCATGTAGCTCTTTTGAAGCCTCGGGTCTTTGGGGTCTGAAATCTGAGAATGAGAGCCTAGGAATGTTTAGTTTCGGAGCTTGAGGGCTTAATGGTGTAGGAGTTTGGACTCGCACAGCTACCCGAAACCCACAGCCCCAAAACCCCAACCCCCTACACCCTAAACCTCAAATCAAGGGAAGACACTGTTTGGAGAAGTTCCTGGAATCCCGTCGATTTCGACTCTGAAGACAAACGGGGGCCGGCTAATTCTCACCCCCTGCCAGGGATAAGCGAAAGCAACACGCGGAAATTGTTGGAGTGTCTGTATATCAACCTTAAAGCACCTCAAGTTGCGTTGGGGACGCTTCTGTTGGCTGCTGGCATGGCGGTGTAATAAAGCAGGCAGTCAGTGCCCAATGCAACAGGCTTCGTACTTCGCCTGGAGTCGAACTAACCCTAAACCTTAAACCCTACACCCTCCCTCGGCAGCAACGGGAGCTTGCCTCACAGGGCTTGAACCAACCGCGCTTTGGCGCCTCAGCTTGGGGCTGGGCTGTGGGGTTTCGTGCTCAATGGTCAGGTTGCAGGACTTTCGGGCCATTTTTTCACAGGGGTTTAGGGGCATGCTGCCATCAATTATAAGGTGTAGGATTTAGGGTTTCGTTGCGGAGAGAAGGGATTGAAATTGATTCATTCATGCCTGCAGGCCACTTCCCTACCTGCAAACCTCGCGAACCCCCGTGGTACACTCCTACCCCGTTACAGCTGCAAGTACGTCATATGATCCCTTTTACACAGGCCTGATTGGAGCTCGCCCGGCCCTAAACACCGAACCCCAAAACCCTAAACCCAACCCTTCATAAGACGTCCAACCCCGAAAAGCCTTCCAACCCCCTGGTCCTCGAGTACTGTACGGACTAGGGTCGAGGTTTGAGGATTTTTGGGCTTAAGGGTTCAGGGTTTGCAGGGTCTGACCCAGAAGCTTCCTGACTTGCAGAATCAAATGACGAAGCCGTCAGCCCCGCGACCCCAAAACAGTGAAACCCAACAACAACCCTGCGCCTTAACCGCCATCCCGCCTTTCCTCCTAAGCCCAAAAGCCCCCAACCCCAACCCTCGACGCTAGACCTTAAAACTCAGCCCGATACCCCTGCAAAGCCGGAACCATGTTGAGACCCTCCACAATCCCCAAGTGTCGCAGGTCTAAGTTATAGAGCTTATCATCTTTGAATCATACTAGCTACAGAACCAAACAATTCTAATGCCTCATAACTCCACATCCCGGTACAAATCTTTACAAAACCCTGACAGCTCCAAGCGAAAAGCCCCTGGCTTGAGCTCAAAGCTCAGTCCTACACCCCAAAACCAAAAAAAAACAACAAGAACCAAACCAAGCTTCCAGCCGGCAAGAACCCTAAGCCGAAACCCTATATTCACCCTCCAAGAAGTCCTGCCCGGGATTCCAGCGGCTCCCGTCCCACCCTCCGTGCCAGGCCTGACAACGGTTTAGGGTCTCGGGTCTCCGGGCTTTTGGGCTTGTAGGGTTTGGGGTTAAGGGCTTTGGGGCTTAAAGGCAGTAGATGTAGGTCCTTCGGAGTCCAGGTGAGCCCTGAGCTCTAAACCCTCAAACTTTGGCTGGACCCGAAAGAACCTACCTTTTCAAAGCTCCTTCTTATCATGTCCTTTAAACCCTAAACCCTAAACCCTTTACAGCGGGTCGCCGCCGACTGAGGGGCTGGCACCCATCTCGAAGTGGTGAGCTGACGCAGCCACATGGCGGGATACATGGCCAACCTCTTCTCGCCTGACAAACAGCGGGGCTTTCGTTTTAGCTTAGGGTTTCGCGTTTCAATAGGCTGAAGAACGTCTGCACCTTGTTGGCTTGTCGGGCTTAGTGCTGATTTCCTGGGCCCTATATCCTGGCACCAGTGCTGGGGGAGGGAAAGGCCTAGACCAAGATTTAGAGTTGACGAACATCTGCAAACCCTAGGAGAAAGGGAGGACCCCTGTTCAGCGTGCGAAACCCCAGACCCTGTCCAGGCATGCATGTCATGAAAAGGCAGAAGGGCTCGGATTCAGGCTGAAAGGCGTGACGATCTGTTGCAGGTTTCAGGCTCAGTCGTTTAGCTGACAGCTGAGGGCTTTGACTTGGAGTCTGGGTTTTAATGGCTGAAGATTTGTAGGGTGCAGGGTATAGGATGGCTCAGGAGGGCGTGACAGCAACGACCCCTGCTTTCGGCGTTGGCGACCCAGACTCGCCATCGCTCACGGGCCAGGGCTGAAGGCTTGGGTTAGGTCATGTTGTCCAGGCCGCTTGCGACCCCTGCAGCACCTTAACGCGCAAATAAAGGCAGGGAAGCTCCTCCAAATAGAGCAAGCATCTCAGGGTATCAATATCCTAAAACCCCTGAAAATGACCCGAAGCCCTCAAACCCTTGCCTGGCTGTCCCGGCGGCATGAAGTAGAGGTAGCGGTGGCTAGGCACCCGCTGCCCGGGCGCAAGGCCCTTCCCGGCTCCTGCTGCACTCGATAAGCAATGACAGATGGGGCCCTGAGTCCTCTAAGCTGTAAGCCCTACACCCTATACTGATCTATAACCCTTAGGGTTAGGGTTTGGGGTTTACCTGTAGTCTCCATTGTAATTCATTCTTTGGGGTTACCTTATGGGAACGTTAACCCAGGAAATGGAACAACAATGGAGACGATAGGTAAAGCCTTTGTTGAACCAAGACTCTGCCAATCAGCTGGGAAGCAGCACTTCCAGACTATTGCTTCCAGGCAGGAGGTAAACCCCAAACCCTAAACCCAAACACCAAGGCTTAGATCACATACCGGTATATACTACTACTACTATACTACTGGCAACTAGTCTGGTGCAGAAATGTTTATTGGGGCAATAGAGTCGCGGAGAAGCATGCCAAACAATAAAGCGGATATCACACATGTGAAACAGCGCCCGTCACCGTCGAGACGAGCAGAACGAGCACCAACAACATGCAAAAAGTCTACCATTCCAGCTCAGCCGAAGACAGAGCAGAGTTTCGAGTGGTTAATTACATCCGCGAGTCGAGCAAAGCCTTTTTATGCATGAATCAGACAAATTCTGCAACCACAAGTGACGAGCCCGAAGTCTGAGGCCCTAGAGGGCGTGATGCCGCGTGGTTTGGGCTTTGGACTCTCAAAGCTCGAGTATTCCAGATGAGTCTCTAAACCCACATACATGAGGAGCTTTGGGATAGGGGTTCATTATTTCAATTACAAGCTCGTTGCTGCATCCCTTGTGACTGTAGGGTCTCACGAAATGAACCAGGCCTCTTCTCCAAGGCGCTGGGAATCAGGGTCCATGGTGTGAAGTTTGTAGCAAACGCCCAAGGCTGAAGCGTATGATGACCCCGCAAAGTCTGCAAGCTCGCAATCGCTTTTTGTCGGAGCCGTCCAAGCATAGGTGACACTTTGGTACTGCAATGTACGTCATAACCCTGTTACAGCAGCAGCTCATAGTAAAGGTTCAGATTTAGGATATCACTCGCTGTCGGAGGCGTAGGAGGCCAGGGAGGCAAGGCTGCTTTCGGGCGCCTGCGGCGGCTCCGACTGCTCGGCTTCTTCGGATGCTGGAGTGCTGTCCTTGGCTTTCACCTGGAAAGCAGCCTTAAAAGCCTTGGAACCAGTCTTCGAGTTCTTGAGTATGGACTTCCGGACGGACAAGGAGGTAGGCTGTTCCGACTGCTCCCGCAGTCTGGCAAACAACTCGGACTCGCTTTCGAGCTTTGCGGTGCGAGCTCCGATAGGATAAAACTTGTCGTAAATTCCTTGATCAAGGGCCGTGTTCCTTTTGCTCCTCGCATCCTGGTCGTAGTCAATTTTCAAGCCATCGTCGACATCCTCCCATTTAAAGCCTTGATGCGCCTGCATAGCTCTTGTTGCGTGTTCAATGGCATCATAGTCCACGAAGACCATTCTCCGAGACTTGTGGCCTACAGGCCGGCACTGCAAGAAGCCTTTGTCCAGTGCAAAGACTTCTTCCACACTATCTGAAGATTCAGCATCCGGTATACCGGTCACAAATAAGGTATACGATGGCTTTGTGTACGTCCTCTGGCCGTTTCCGGCATCGTATCCTCCAGACGTGTCTCGAAACTTGGAGCCAAACGGGTTGGCATCCTCTCCAGCACGACGTAAGCCAGACATACTAGGACTCTACCTGCGAAAACATCGGTATGCAATTATGATACTCCCAGTCCTAGAAACTAATATTTCCACAATCTTCTAAACATGATCGAGGTGAGCCCGCCTCACTCTTCATGTTTGGCCTGATCTGGACAACGGTGAAGACTCGAGCCGCGCGGGCTACGAAGATGACTGCAAATGCGTGAAAGGTCCGAGGGTTACCACCGGCAAGTTGGAACCGTTGGAACAACTGGTGCAGCATGCTGTGCACAAGTACCGAACCACTCGAAGATAACTCAACATGACCGCAGTAAAAGGCTTGACCCCCCACCCATCCCACGATCTAACTTCCAAGAACCTGCGAGAGAAAGGGACGTCACGAGCACAGGCAAATCGACCACCCTCGAAAACTCTCCATTGCCACCAAAACGCCCTGAGCCTGGAAATCCACAGATCCGAAGTTTTTTCGCCGACGACCTACACAGTCACAGCGAACCGAAATCAGCTCCCAGCCCGCCTCCAAAAGCAGGCTTCGGTGGGGGTAATTCTGCCATTGGCCTTGGTCGGGAAGATACGCTGACTTGGTTGAGGCTGTAAGCCCGGCCTCTGCGAGCCACAATAAACACAGCTTAATGACCCATTCCATTTGTGTTCTTTTGATGAAAATTTTGTCCAATGAGCACTCGGCGGGGTTGGGGGATTTCGGTTGGAACCGTTTTGTAGTTAGGCGGAAGAGCCTCTAGGTGAGTGTCAGGGTTTAGGGCTTGCATTCACTCTCACTCATTCTCACTTTATCTCACTCTCTCACTCCTCTCACTCTCGGTCTGGCTCTCACTCTCACTCTCACTGTCACTCTCACTGTCACTCTCACTCTCGCTCTCACTCTCACTCTCACTCTCTCTCTCTCTCTCTCTCTTTTTCTCTCTCTCACACATACACGCAGCCTGTTACAGTCTGCATGTCCATGACTGAGGGGCTTAATACCCTAGCTTAACATAGTGAGCCCTTTCATTATGGCGGGAAGCCATGCGCCCAAACAGGTCACAGGTCACATACCAAGCTCCTAAAAGTAAACGTCCTACGCACGCCATCTTCTGCCAACGGTACCTGGAAGCAGCCCGAGCCAGCCTCTGCCACATGGCTCCGTGAGGTTTAGCATTTAGAAGACCCGATTCGCGAACAGGGCTTTCAGGGTTTAGGAGTTCGTAGTTTCCCAGCGGAATCTAAGGTTAACCCTTGGTATTCCATCAGGCCAACACCAAAAAATAGAGGTTACTGAGTCCATTAACCAGTGTGTACATGTATACAGATATGTATGTGAATATTTGTACATGCCTATGTATGTATATGTATATGGTTATGTGTATATATATATATATGTATACATATATGATATACGTACCTAAATGTTGACGTGCATCTGCAACTGGGCTCACCAACACCTCTGCTGGCGCTTGCCCCGTACCTTTCGCGGGGACTCGACGAAACATGACCACCGAACCGCTGGACCCCAAACTGCAAAAGGGTAGTTCTCTAAATTAGGGTCCCTTTTAGGGTCCCTTCTGTAAGCGTGCCATACTATTTTGGGGACTTAAAAACGGACCCTAATCCTGTAAAGCCACCCATACACCAAACTCCGTAACCACAGAGAGCATGTCAGGTTTTGCCCGAAATTTCCTTCGGTGCTGGGGCCCAGCACACGGTCAACCGGTCAACACGTTTTTTCGCTGGCAGGTCTAGAGAAGAGTACCCCAAGAAACCAAAAACGCCAGTGCCTTACCCCTGGCTGCTATAGGGTTGAAAGTCGAACCTTCAAGCACGCGCCAACAAGCTCTATGTAAGCTTGACATGATGTAAGGCTTACAGGGCTTACGATTATCGTCTCAGGAAAGGGGGCCGGGCGCCGACCACTGATTCCTGCATTCGTCAAGGTGCTCTGTCGGTTTGATGGTGAGGTCACCCTAAACCCGAAAACCATTTCAAATTCTTAGGTCACTGTCAAGCTCGACACTCATCTTCGACACCAGTCGCGCAAAGGCGACAGCCTGGAGCCTCCACTCCTCCTGCACGAACATGTGGGAGTTGTTGTTGAAGTTGCGGTTTGGGGGTTAAGGTGGGTTTCCGTGTTGTGTTTGGGTCCTTCTGCAACAAGGATCATACGGTACTGTATGTTCGGAAGCTCCCATGTGGGTTTCGTTGTGTGGTGGGGCTCTTGAAAACTGCAACCTTATGGCAGCATGTGGCGTTTTATGTTTAGTTATGCACAGTCGAGGTTGATCAAGACATTCAACACATGAGCTGTGGATCGCTGACATAGATTTCAGTGGCAGTTTGTGGTCAGTGAGCCCTTTTGTTCTTCATCGCATGCAGCTATTTGCTGATTTCCTGTCAGCGACCCCCACAACCATAGCCACCGAGAAACCGTAAGCGGTGAAACTCTCAGGCCCTAACACCTAAACCCCCCCTGAATAGTCGCCGTACTCCAACTTGCCCGTGGCCTCTTGGTCCTGCTGCTGAGGCGCTGGGGCCTGCACCCACCGTGGTGGGTGTGCGGGTTTAGGAGCTTTGGGGGTTTAGCGATTTGGGGGTTTAGGGTTTAGGGTACCAGTTTGGGGCGTTTTCGGGCTTGTGGCTTGAAAGGCTTTGGGCTTTTGTAGGGGCTGTCATGCTCCCACACGCGAGTTTGCTTTGCGTTTGATGTGTCTTCTGAGGGTTTTTGCCACGCAGATTCAGCCACGAGGGTGCATAGACTCATGCATTAACCTACTCAGGTTCTTGCCGATGTCACGTAAAATAAATTATAAAAATATTACTATGAAAATTAAGATTACTTAATATTAAGAGAAATATATAAATGTTAACATATACATTTTCACGCACCGGGACACGGGGAGCTTTGAGGGTGCTGCCGGTGCGAGAACCTGATCTTTTGCAAATGCGATGTCCGCGGTTTGAAATACAGTGGTTCAATACATACATCGTTGGGGGGTATGACGTGATGTAGTGATATGTAGTGTAGGGGTTCCATGATCTTCTCGTAGTGTCGGCCGATATGTCATGCTTGCACCCTACAGTGTGGCTGCTCATCTTGCGCAAGGGCGGGAAGGACACCCGGGGAGACGAGCAGCTATGGTTTGGGGTTTAGGGGCTGTGGGACTTTCAGAATTCATCGTAGACTCTGCTGTTCGAGCAGCAACATAGCAGACCGAACACGACCTGAATGCCATAAGGTCCTATAAGTGCCCATATCGTAGAATGCAGGCTTTCTGCATCAGGAAGTACTATTTATGATTTTCGGAAGTATATCGAAGCGGTGGTCTTAGGCCGCGAGCGCAGAGATGTTGGGTTGATTAGGGATGTTGGGGTTAAGGGTTCAGGAAGCTTTGCTATGGACACAACACATGACGATTGAACGACGAAGCCCTTCAACATGGTGTTTGACCAGCCGTTGCTCAAGAGTCGAGATAGACACCGCTTTACACACCATGGTAGAGACCAACCCGGACGGAGGCCTAAACGCCACCAACACACCATAACGCCGTCAAAAGCCTCTCATGATCCAGCCCTTAATCTGGCCCTATACAATTTGACCTCAATACCCAAAGCTCGAACTCTTCCGGAAGATTTGAAATTGAATGTGTCCAGCCTCTCCCAGCTGAGCCTTAGAATCCTGCGCTCCAACACCCCGAGACCCGCTTCAGGTGGTTTTGGGGTGTCGCGTTTCGGGTTCATAGCAACGCCCGAGCCTATGAGCCTTAGAAACCTTGGGTGCTACTCCTGCCGTTGGCCTGGCCCAGACGCGAAAGTACTTGCGACCATTCAGGGGAGAAGCCCACGTCCACCTCTGGAAGCGGGGATTTGGAGTTTGGGTTCTGCGTCGTATCACCCACGACTACCCATAGGCCCCATAGTAGTTCCTTTTGGGGATCAAATTTGGAATCCTATAGAGTAATCCCAAAAAGGAACTACTATGGGGCCTATGGGTATGACTATGTCTTATAGTGTCAAGCTTCAAGGTTGATGATTACCCAGCTTCGAGGATTTCAACTTTCAGGTTGAGTATGTATACAGCTGCACTGCACCAACCACTCCCTTTTTTCGGGCGAAGGCCCAAGAAAGCACAGCAACATGTGCTCAGCAAATATTAAACTTACAAAGAAAATGGTCCTTTCACCAAGCCGGCTTATCCGATGGCAAGCATACGCCCAAAGTATTTAGAATTTAGAAGCCACACCTTAGACGGGGGGAGCCTGCTTAATACAGTCTCCTAAAATCCAAAAAGCTAGCAGGACCCACTGAACCCGCTCTTGAAATGACAGCCCTGAAAATATCTATCTTTGAGAAGGCTTCATCTAAAATCAAGTCTCAACCTCCAGACTCTTCATCCTCAATCGGGGCTTTAGCCATGATCCACGCAGTTTCTCATGGTTTGGGCTCCCTGCTTTGTTTCTGAAATTCTGAAAGGGCTCTTTGGGTGCGGTGCTGCTCCAGGCGCGGTTCTTGAGGCTCTCTTGGCCTCGGCCCTGCACCCCGAACATCCCAGAACCCTCTCTAGGGCCTAGATTTGTTTTCCCACCCGCCCAGTTGGCAGAGTCGCACCGCAGGGAGTTCGTTAGGTTCAGGGTTTAGGCCTTAGGGTCTGCCCGAAAATTTCTCAACCTCAAGCCGTGCCGGCTTGGGACATTCTGATGCTGAGGCCAGGGCGACCTTGTAGGCCTGGCGAAAGCTGGCTTGCGGGATGAGATGACCGGGAAGACAGTACCAAAAGCAGAGAGAGAGAGAGAGAGAGCTCTTCGTAGCTTCTGGAGGCACATGCTCTGAAAGAAACCGCCCGCAAGTGGTGCAGGCTGGAGGTCGGAAGTACTTCGGAGTTCAATGCCGCCCCACTCAACCGTGGAATGACGGCTGCAGCCCCGGCCCTGACGCCCGGCTGCCCAAAGTCGCAAATGCATGTCTACGTGCTGTCTGTCTGTATGTGTGCGCCTGTGTATCAATACATACAGCAAAAACACCTTTGCACA